AAATTAAAATTAAGAAAACAAATTTAAATTTAAAATTTTTTCAAAAATTTTAGAAGAAAAAGATTTAAAAACAGAATACCTAAATAACAGAACAAAAAAAATCAAAAAAGTCAAAATTTTTTTAATTTAAAAAAATTTAAAGAGGAAAAGAAAATTAAGATTAAAAATAAAAAACATAAAAATTAGAAAGTAAAAAATAAAAATTTTTTAAAAAGAGGAAAAAAAAGGAGAATATATTCCCATGTAGACTGTGTGCTTCTAATAATGTTGTTGTGAGGTCTGTTTTAAGTACTACCTTACTTTTAGAAAGATTTCATTTGACTCAGAAAACTCTAAGGAGCACATAATCACATACGTGTAAAGTTCAAATAGGAAGCCAAGGGGAAGTGAGAGAAAAGACGCAGAGATGAAGCTGGGCAGATATGAATACATAGCATGCAAAACCTGAGATACTGTGTATTTCCAATGGGCCACAAACTTGGCTCCAAGCAGCTACTACAAAAAGAGGGCCATGAGCCCTTTCCCAAGTTAGAGTGTCCACTAGAGGTTCACCAGGAGGACCACAGCAATTGTGGCACAAAGAACTATTTACTCCAAGTCTGTGCATAAGCAGGTAACGTGAGATGTAGTGAACAGAGTCCCCAGCAAGACCCAAACACCTGGCAGGTATCTCAACAGCATTTAGTGCTACACAGAAACATTCCTTGGTGTGGGCCCACTCCAAATCCCAAAGTGCAGCTGATCAATTCTCCTAGTATCATTGCAAATTTTGAATTAAGCAGGTATCAATTTTATAATCAGAAAACAAATATTTTGAATTTAAAAAAAGATAAGGGAAACAGTCATCCTTGACAGTCTGGGGATGCACTGTGATACCCCTCAGCCATCATTCCCAGAGAAGGCTCTGCCCAGTCCTGCTGTTTCTGTGAAGCTGAGCCTGAGTGCCCAGACAAGAGAAAAGGCAGAGACAGGCTACTCTGAGACCTGGTTAAGGAATGTTTATCACCTTGGTGATGAAGCCCCAGGTGTTAACTATAAAAAGCACTGGTGACCGGCGACTCTCACTTGTCACTGTTTACATTGAGCTCTACAACTTTGTATCTAGTTTATCGATATAAATAATTCACACCCTGCATCTCTGGTGCTCATTGCCTTATGCCCATTGCCTTGAACAGTGCCTGGTGCAGTTGAGAAATAAGTACTTACTGAATGAATGATGAGAGATCCTGGACAACAAGTGAATCTACGGGCCTGCTGAAGTTGTCTGGGCAAACCCTTCCCCACCTGGGCCTTACTTCAACTTTAAGACTCTCGCCTGTGGCAATGAGACAGGTGAGAAAGGGGTCCAGATGTGGAGGCCAAGCTCCTGAGCTGTGCGTCAAGGAAAACAAATTAAAAATTGAAAAGGGAAACTGAACAACCGGGTGTCTAGTCTTGCTTGAGTCTCGCTGTGGTGAGGATAAACACTGGGACAGTTCAAGACAAACAGCTCTGGTTCTGAACAGGCAGAGCTGCTTTCTCGTGTGCAGTGAGGATGTGGTATGAAATCTGTTCCTTGCTCAGGGCAAGAATCTGTCTTCCCTAAAGAAGAGGGCTGGCTCTGAAGGTTCTGCCCGAAGGTACTCGGAGCTGCTGGCTCTCTAAGCAGGGGACTCTGCTCAGAACACACCAGAGCAGCCCAGGCAGCATTTTCTCCAAGGAGACCTCCGGCAGCTGGCATCATGGGACGTCCCAGGCAAGGAGGCCTGGGCAGACCACACTGTCCACACAAATGTTAAGAGAATCAGGCCAAACAGTCTCGGGACCTAACTGGCCTGGGGACAATAATGTCAAAATGCCACAGCCACAGCAAGAGCTTGCAGTGGCTTTGAAAAGACAAGGCGTTATCTTGAACTGATAAGTAATGACACTGAAGGAGCACTAGACAGGAGTCCAGAGGCCAGCAGGTACTAGCCTGGTTCTGTCACTTCACTGCCCTTCTGAGGCCTCAGTTTGTTCAACTGTAAAATGGACATAAATTCACTGATAGGATTGGCTTCCTGGCTTCTTCATAATGAACCCCTACAACACAACAGCCAAACTGGAGATATGCAATGAACGCAATGTGGTCCTTACCCTTCAACCTGATCAGAACATACAGGGCCTGGCCCAGCATCTGGCTCCTGAGAGGCTCATAAGAATGTTGTCATCAGCAGTAGCTTCAAGGTGGCTGCTGGATGCACTTCGCCTGTGAGTTCTACTGCTAAATACCACATACATCCAGCCACCTGCCTCCACCGTGTGGTCCTAGTTCAGGCCTTGCCTCACCAGGTCTGCTGCAGTAAGGTACCCTCTCCTGACCTGTCACAGGTGCTGGGAGCTCACTATCCCAACCATCCCAGCATCTCTGAGCTCCTGCCTCACCAATTTGGTCTCTACTTGTCTATTTGTGTTCTTCTCAGCACAACCACCAATCACAAGGCCACTCCCTCAAAAATCTCCTTTTCCTACAAAATTCAGCTTTAGCTCAGCATTTGAAGACCTGATAAGCTGCCTTCTGCTCACTGTCACAGTCTTACGTCCCCTCAAGGGCCTGTGTGTTCACAGCCCAGGCCTCAGTCCTCCAATGCACCACACCTCTGCTCTGCTCCTGATGTTCTCTTGCTCTGGAATAATCTCTCCTTTGACTTTCAAGATCCTAACTCACATTGCCAAGCTAAACTCAAATGCCTTCTGTTTTATTAGTATTCTCAGCTTCTGGCCTCGTAAGGGATCCCCTTTCTTGTTTTCAAGCTCAGTTATGTTTTTATTTTTGATATTGTCACTGTCATCAAATGTGCTCAGTTCACTTTGAACTGGAAGATGCTGCTCAAAGGTTTTCCTCTCTGTGAAGCCCTAGAAGGCTTTCTTGACATTCCCCTTCTCCCCTATACTCAGCCTCCCCCGCCATACACAACTTATGCAATGTTTGTACTCAGAGTATTTCTCCTCCAGAAACTCTTCCAATAACTTCCATCCACAGTGCAGTGGAATTAGGGTTTTCCATGGGGATGAAAAAACACCTGGCCCAGAGCTGGTGCTCAGTATCTCTTAGCTGATGCTGAAGAAGACAGTTAGAACTGTCCTCAGTGGTCACATGGAAGTAGCCGGCATCACATGTGTGCACCAAACTGTTGGCTGCTCCCCATCCACTATCACTGCTGACCGTATAGAATGCACTGTCTCCATTTCATCCCATGTGAATACCCAGACCCAGAATTCAACCTCCTTAAGTTTCCAACACTGAATCCACTCACACAAGTGTGAAAAGGCAATGGAGACTTTACTGAAGACTCTGGAGGGGAGATGAAGGTGGTGGTCACACAGCACAGCCCACAACAGGCCATCTTCGATTCCTCACTAGACAGGGCTACCCAGTCACTCCTGGGTCCCACTGACCCAGACTGTCCCCCTCTGCCTTTCTCCACACCACAACTGGCCTCACCAGTTTCTCTCTCTTCCTCTCCAAATTCCTAACTTAAAATTTTGCTGCCAATTAATGTCAGCCATGACTTCATAACCAGATTCTTCAGAAGCCTTAGCTCCCAGAGGTCCCTCAGTTAACAGAACCCTGTCCTCCTTGAAGGCTGTTTGGCCACCACCTTTGTGACTCAAGCATGATGACATTCAGTGTCTTAATCCTTCCCTTAAGTTGTTCGTAAGATATTTTATCCCAAGCATAATGCAGCGTTCTCCCCAAGAAGGATTCTTGATGAGTGAAGTTTTACCACCTCTCTGTCATCTATAGCCACCTCCTCGCTGAGTTTCTGCCATGAAACATTGAGAGTGATGATCTCTATCTTCCAGCATCCCTGACTGATCTTCAATTCCCCCCAAGTCACCAGGATATCCCCATTTATTCTATCTCTGAGCCAAATGATTTTGACCAAGCCCCAGCTTCAGGCCCAGGAAGGGCAACCCATACAAACCAGTTTCCAGAATCACATGAAGTCATTTGGAATACAACATCCTTCTCAGGGAACTTCTTGACTCTAAGCAGACCCCAGAAAGCTGGTGGACAGGGCTGCCCAAGGAAGGAGCCTGGTCTGGCTGTGCTGACCAACTCCAGCTTGTTCACCCCAAATCGTCACCATCTTTGTACTGAAAGACCCATGTCCCAGGACCCCCAGGCAAACAAGAATGGTTGGTTACTACAGGTTTGTCCCAGCCACCATCCTTGCCAAGAACCCACTGCTCACAAGGACAGTCAGTGAAGCCAAGCTCCACACGAGCAAATCAGAGGGAATGCAATAAATGCACAGAGAAGGGGAGGATGAGCCCTGGCAGCAGGTGGGGCTGGGAGACAGGCTCCCAGAAATAAGATCACACGAGCAATGGGGCCAAGCATGGGGCCAACAGTCTCAGGTGGGCTGCCGACAAGTTACACCATCGGCATGACTGAGGAATTCCACCCTGGGCAGGATCCCAATAACACAGGGTGGGAGATTAGGAAACTATGGCAGCCAGGAGACAACAGCAACATCCCTAGGAGGTACACACAGGTACACGCGCGTACACGCATGCACGCACACACACACACATACACACAGAACTCCCTGGAGCCTAGCATTTATGGGGCTTCCACAAATTCTGAGCACACATTTCTTTGACCCGCTCTCCTTTCCACAAGTGTCAAGCTGTGTATGTGTGTGTGTGTGTGTCTCTGTGTGTACTGTGTGTGTACACATGTCCACACCTATTCTGCTGGCAGAGGAAATGCCCTACATCCTCCCCAACAGACCATCTCTGCCCCGGACACAGCCCTAGTGTGCAAATCCCTGCACGAACCACTGGCTTAGATGTGCACAAAGAAGCCAGCCTCTCCTCCACGACCACGACGACGTAAGCACTCGCTCTTCACCTCCACCTCCTGATAGCCAGTGGCCAGGAAAAGACCCAGTGAAATATCACATCCCCATAAACACAGAGATCATGGACCAGAAAGCAGGCCTCCTCCTGTGAGGAGGGAGCGGGGGACTCACCAGGACTCTGCCAGTCAGTGTCTGGGCAGATATCATCACCCCCGCCCAGTCTTTCACGGAGGTCATCCAGCCGACCTCAGCTGCCACCGCCTCCTCTTTTTCGTCCACTGGCTTGAGAGTGCCGTCTGCCTGGCTTGAGCCATTGTTAATCTTCTGGGCCTCCTGGCAACAGAGAACAAGAGTTGAGACGCAGGCACCAAGCAGATTTTAAAAACACAACCTACCCAAAAGAATCAAAGCCAGAGGGGCCCCCACTGAGATGGGAAACGGCTTGAAGGCACAGGGTTGGGAAAAAGGGATGGATTATGGCTTTGATTGTTCTTTTAAAATCTTTTTTAAAAGAATTTTTCCTTTGTTTCCTCTTAAAATCTCTTTGTGAAAGAAAAAAGAATGAAATTATTCTCTTCCCATTTGAAAGGACAAGAATCACAAAGCTCAGGAGGGAAACCAACCTGTCTAGGGTCATGGAATGGCTGGGAAGGAGGCGAGATCAGCATTCTGCAGTCTCCACCTGCCCAGCCTTCACAGCCTTCTCACAGGTGCACCCTGCTTTCCTAAGGAAATCTCCATCTCCTCATCCCAGACTGTGTGGTCCAAAAGGGACTGAAGGTCCACACTGGCCCCAGGAATGGATACTAGTCAATCAGACCAGTCCATCCCTCTGGCAATAGCAATTGGACCAAGGATGGTTACATGAGCCATGCCAACCCAACAAGACTCAAGCCTGGGGCTTTTGCTGCAAAGAATAAGAGGTAATCCTTCCCTGAGAATGAAGCCACCACAGAGGAAACTAGAAGTGATAGAATACTGATGTCATCAAACACCTGAATCCAGCTTTGCCTGAAATCCACCCCAGAACTTTTTAGTTACAGGAAGCAATAAATTCCCCTTCATGGCTAAAAATGTGGTTGAGGAAAAAAGGCTGACTTCATCAGATAACTGAGCCCCACATAGGGGCCACATAGGGCCCTAAAATTTGCATGTTATGTGCCCTCTGCCTAGAGTATTCTTCTCACAGAGGGTCACAGTTTAGTCCCTCACCTCCCTCAAGTCTTTGAGATGTTACATTTTCAATAATTCTGCTCTGGCTACCCTTTTAAAATTCCAACTGTCTTCTGACGTGTTGCCCTTTCTGCTTTATTTTTCTCCATAGCATTTAAAACTTCTCACACACTCCATAATTCACTTACTATTTAATTTACAGTCTGCCTCCCCCAGCTGCTGAATTCCAAGCACCTAAAAGAGTGTCTGGCATGTAGTTGTCTCAATAAACATGAATGAATAAAAAAGGTTATGAGTGTCATCCCCTCACTGACTACAGAGCCTGGGCTTAGGGGTTACCAAATAAAATGCAGGATTCCCAGAGATTTTAGTTTCAAATAAACAACAAATAATTTTTTAGAATAAGTATGTCCCAAAGATTGCATGGGACATACTTATATTAAAAACATATTCATTGTCTAGAATTTAAATTTAACTGGGCCCCCTACTCAAATAACCACTAAGATTATTTGTGCAAACATAGATGTTTAAAAAGATGCCAGCAAAAATAGGTTCATCATTTAAAATGCTAGAATTAGTTAACAAAACAAACTGAACTGGGGGATCACTGTGAATTGGAGTGAAGAGGAAAACCCAAAGGCACAGGCAAAAATCTTGGTCTGCAGTGAATGAGGGTGGGGCAGGCTGGGAGGCACTGAATGAGTCACCCTCTTGGGGACTCGCAGGCAGGCAGGAAGCTGCTCCCAATGCCTGGTTATCCCCCACCAGCCACCCCTGACTCAGGGATGCTGGGCAGACAGATGGAGGACCATCACCAGGTGCTCATGTTTAACTTCCAAGTGTACTGGCCCCCTCGGTGATTGAACAGTCCAAGAGGAGGCCTGGGGAGGTGGGGTACAGAATGGACATATCTGGGGGCCACCTGCTGACGTCTGTGGAGCCCACAGCCCAAGCCACCCAAGGCCAGTCTCAATGGCCTGTTAGGACCTTGAGTCTTGGCCATGTGGAGACTGCACAAGTGGGTGTCCTGGGAGAGACAGAGGCCCTGATCTGGAGGCAGCCTTAGTAACGGAAGGTGTAGACTCAGCTTTCCTCTCCTGTAAGATGTCTGCCCCATAAGTGTTGGCAGGATTAAACAGTGACCAATGACACAGAAAACACCGTTTCATTAATTAGTCTCACCACCTCCTGCTTCTTCGAGAGCCATAGACACTTAGCCATGGTTCTCTAACTTGAGCAGCACCAGAACCCCCCAGAGGGCTTGTTACAACTGTGCTGGGCCCCACTCCCAACCCCTACTTCTAACAAATAGCGTTCCCAGGTAATGCTGAGGCTGCTGGTCTGGGAACCCCAGTTTGAGAACCACTGCCTATCATCTTGATGTGGCGTGATCATCCCTGCCCTGATATGAAATGGGGCGTGAACCTTAGCCCCCAGCTCGGTGCTGGCCTCTCCTCTCACCCAGACCAGGAAGAGATCAGGACAAGGAGCAGGTCCTCACATCAGAGGTGCTTGTTTCCTCTCGGCAGCATCTCCTAGGCACATTTCTGAGCTGGTCCAGGGCCACAGCCCGGGGGCCTGGAGAGCTAGCTCTTTGCTCCTCAATCCTGGGGTGCAGGCTCCCCAGCCAACCGGTGGACCCTGGAGGAGGGAATCGGCAAGGAAAGGGCTGGGAGGCGGGGAGTCCTCTCCAGTCACGGTGGTTTCAGTGCATCAATAATTCAGAGCAGAAGAGGCATATGGCAGATAATGGTCTCTTGCCAGCCCTCTTACCTATTGTTTTACAAGGCATTCATTATTTTAATTACTTTATGATAGGCAAGGAAAAACACAGACTAAAGGGAGATAATGCTCTCAATATCATTTGCTTACTCTGGATGTTGTGAGCTTAATTACACGTGGGCGGTAGAACTGGGGGAGTGGCTGGGGGAGCGGGGAGGCTGGAGCCTTGCAAAGCCTGAAGCCAGGCAGCCAGGTTAGCGCTCCTTGGTCTGGAGGAAAAGCCGCTCTGTACCTCTGACCTCACTCTGGCCAAAGCATCCCTCATCAGGACAGGTGGAACCCCTACTCCGGAGAAAGGGTATGGAGGCCCAGAAAGTTAAGTGGCCTTGCTGAGGACATGCAGGGGTGGGGGTGGAGAGAGTGGGAAGGGGCAGAGCCCATTATAACAGTGACTGACCACCATTTATGAAGCCAGAACTGGGTGTCAGCAACTAAAACTTAAGTGCCTTCTCGGCATTATCTTGCTTAGACCTTATAATAAATCCAACAGGCAGGTGGAATTGCCCCCAATTTATAGACAGGCCAACTGAGAGCAGATATTTCTCAGGGGAAAGCACAGAGCCTGAGAACTCAGGCTGGGGACAGCGAGCCCATCTGGCCTTAGGTCTGCTCTGCCGCTTACAAGCTGGCTACCTCGAGCATGTTAGCTCACAGCCTCAGCCTCCTCCGTGTAAAATGGGGACAACCACACAGACCCTGTTAATGTGGTGGTGAAACTTACAACACACCATGCTTGGGTCAGGGCTGATGTGGCAGGCATAGCCACCTTGACGGAACACCCACTGATGGGCAGATTGGCTCCAAGGATATTCAGTTAAAGCTGCACCATTGATTGGGGCCCTGGGACGGACACTGGCCCAGAGTGAAACCGTAATAAATAATTACAGAACAGAGGAGAAACAAGTGTAGGTTCTAACAGCTATGAGGTTTCGCCTAGTTAATGGGCCCCCAGGAGGTAAAGTGCCTGCCCGAATTCTGGAGGGGTTCCAGCAGGGGCTGTGTGGCTCTCCCCCAGGACCGCGGGGACAGGGATCCCTACACATTCAGCTCTGGACCAAGCGACCTCTTAGATCCCTTCTGACTCAAAGCCCCATTAGCTCAACCTCCCAGTGTGATGAAGAGACAGAGGACCAGAGAGAGGCTGCCCCCTGAGTCCCAGCACACTGCTGTCTCCTGTGCCCCACAGGGCGCTGCCTCGGGGGGAACAGGGCTTTGTTCTGAATGACAGAGGGGGCATCCCTCCATCCCCAGACCTTCCACTTCCCCTGCAGAGAAGGACCCAGCCCTCTGCTGGGAGGACTCCTGAGCTGGGTCAGATAGGCGCCCACTGGTGTCAGGAGAGAACTGGCCCTGGTCCCTGCTCATCCTCCAGGAAATCACTGTGGGGTGGGGTGGGGGGTGTGGAAGAGAGACAGCCCCACCAGCTACAGGCTCCAGCTACCCTAGCCTCAGACAGACCATCACATATTTTCTGAAATGGAGAAAAGGATGTCTTGAAACAAAGAGGAACAAGGAGGAGGGAGGAGGAGAGAGAAAATGAGACTGGGCGGTCCCTGGGGGTGTCCTGGCAAGTGGATGTCCAGCCACAGCCACTCTCCTGGGAAAGGGGCTCTGTCTGGCTTAAAAGGCCCCTCTCCCTCCAGCCTTGCCCTCTCTCCCCCTAGAGTTTTGTGCAAAAGAAGCCACAGCTGTCTCCTGCGGACAAGGGACAAAATCTAATCTCAGTGCCCAGACTGAAGGATGGGGAGGGCTGCAGGGTGACAGTGCAGGTACAGAAGGCTGGAGGGGCACTGGGGAGCAGAGTGGCCAACTGTCCCCTCCTACTGAATGTCCACACTGGCTGCCTCTCACAGGGCTGGGCCTGCACCCCCACCGTCAGTGATTTCCTGTCAACACGGCCACAGAGGGCCTCACCCTCCAATGTCCCCTGTGCCGAGGGTCTGACCAGGCCACAGTCAACCGTCCAGGATTCACTGTCCAGAGCACACAGCTGTTGGATGTCTGGGCATTGCCCCTAAACCATCAGGTCAAAGACCAAAGCCTGAGAAGGGACCTCAGCCATCCCTTCGGATGTCAACCCCCTCACTGTTCGGATGAGAATGCTGAGGCCTAGAGGAAGTCGCGTGCCCAGTGCCACCCTGCCCCACCAGGTAATAACCGAGCCAAGACGCAAACCCTCAGCTGGCTCTACTTCTCTTCTCTTTTGTTGCTTCCCAGACAGGATGATTCCTCTGAATCCAGACCCAGGGAACCCATCGCTCCCAATCAGCTCCCTGCCCCGTAAGTCTACAATCTGGAATCCGAATGTTCCCAGGACCAGCAGAAGCCTCCACCTGGCCTGGTACAGGTGGGTTTGGGTGTGGGGGCCCCACAGGGCA